CAAGTATGAAAAGCTTGATTGTTGCAAGACATCGATAAAGAGTTTCGTCATCTTGACATTGTCGACTGATTCTACGTGTATAACTATTAATTTGATGGTAGATCCGAACTGACAAGTTCATTATGCTCCTTTTTCTTTCTCGTTCTAACATTGCCATACTCTCTGCTGTAAAATTTTACAATCTGGTCAATAAACCAATAAAAAGTACGAGCGACATAGGTACCCAGCAGTGAGCTCTAAGCACCGTGTGATCAACCTTGTCCCTTGGAGGGATTGAACCATCAATCATGGCTCCACACGTTAAGAATGAGGATAATCTGGTAAGCGAACAAAATTTAATACTGACGCATGTAAAATAGACGTGTGGCCGCACATTCGTTCGTCAACAGTTATTGAATGGTGTTATCTTCACTCTCCTTCCCTCAGTTAAAGTTTGGATATCCTTGGCATTGGCTTGGTCCTGACACCCGCTGCTTCGCATATAAGATCGCGCATCTTCGCTCCGAGTGCCTATGTAAATATTTGTAAGCTGACGCTTCGTGTTGATACAGTTGATCTTCGAAATTTCTTTTCACTCGTTCTTGCGGATAATGTAGCCCCTTATGCTCAATTCTTTTATTCAAAATGCATTTCTGAAATATTTCTATAGCCTGGTTGATCTCCCTGCTTGTGATCGTTGTGACAATCTTGTCATGCAAAGAAACGCCAACTTAGATGTGTAATTCCAGGGATTGTGCAGCGCGGCTGCCGTAGCTTAGCGCTTGAGGAAGCTTACTTTAGGATACCGACCTTTCTAATTTTACAAGAACCAAATATGAGTTAGCGAATCGCAATCCGCTTACTCCAAGAGTAATTATTGCCTTTCCAAGTCTAATTGACTCTTCGTTTTAAAATCCAAAACTGATTTATTTTTTTATTTGCGGCTAAACCGCCTAATTTTAACGGTATAGATTTTCCTAAATATACTAAATATGTATGGTGAAATCTAAATACATGCATAACTACTAGCTACCTAGCCACATACCGTGTTCTTGTTTGGGTGCAGTCAAACCATGCACATCTCGTGTGACACACACCCCTGTTACCAGGGTACGTGTAACCCCGTTACAAAATAAGAAACGAACACGTACGATATGTATGCAGACTCTGTCGAAAAAGGTGACATGTTATTAGGTGACAAGGAAATACACCATGTTAGCAAGCGCTTCGTTAAAGTGGCAAACACAAGATTATCGTCCGGAACGATCACATAATTGTTCGATCTCGTCACGCCTGAAGCGCTTCGAAGGAAATTTCGAGCTCACTTACTCTAGTGGCCATACTGGTAACAGCGAAAGAAGAGATTTCTTTTGTTCTTGATGTTTGGCAGTATACATAACCGCAAGAATGTCATGTTCTGATCTCCAGCAAGACCTATTTCGCACAAGTGATTTTGACATGATACCGAGCGAATTCACGAGAGTGGATTACCAATCAGCTACCCATCTACTCCTCTCGACTTCGATTTTAAGGTTAAAAAAGGTAATTATCGCGATATAATTTTCTTTTAAATCTGTTTGAACAAGGATTCGAGTTATGGACCAATATATCATATTCAACGCTGACAGCTTCGATCGGATTTCTCTAAGGGCAAGGCCATTGTGGACTTGCCGGTTCCAAAAAATTAAAGGGAATTGCGAAGTGGCTTGGCCTCGCCATCTACTTGCTCAAGTTTAGCGCAAATTATGCGAAAATGGCACGGCCACTGTCGAATTTCCTTAAAAGTGATAAGGAATGGTGTTAGGACACCGAGCATCAGGAAGTTTTTGCAGTGTAAAAGACAGCCTCCTTTATGAACAAATACTGACGTCGTCAAATTCCGATCGTCCTTTTAGTGTCGTCTGTGACGCTTCAGACTTTGCCATCGGCTGTGCACTGCTGCAAGAAGACGTTGAGGGGCCCCTCGAGATTGGGTGATCGCGTTTGAATTTTGCCAGCTTAAAGCTGCGGAGAGGAACTACCCTGTCCATAACAATGAATTACTTGGGATGAAGGATACACTTGTCAAGTTCAAGGTGTGCCTGCTTGGCTCAAAGCCGTGTGTGATCTACACAGATCATGCGTCATTACGCACTGCGACTCAGTCGCCTCACATCTCGCAGAGGATGACCAGGTGACTCTCATTTTTTGCAGAATATAACTTCGAGGTGAAGTCTAAGCCAGAAAAGCACAATGCTTTGGCTGATACGTTGTCACGCAGACCGGACTATGACCTTGCTCATGTCACGACGGTGACGTCGTCAGTGATAGATGTGATCCGTGCCGCATCCGCGGGTCATAGTATGTAAAGCGCTGCTACAGGCTCTTGGGAGCAAGAAGTTTGGTAAATTGGACATGAAGTTGTCGGCGCGATTGCGCGCACGGTAACACCGATATTCGTTGAGTAACGGGTTGCTTTATTATAGTACTGATTTAGCGGATACGCCACGAATTGTGGTTCCTCACGATGAGGATTTAAACACTGTATCCTCTATACGGCCCTCGGTACCCCACTTAGTAGTCATCTCGGTCGT